GATTAGAGATGTAAAGGGATAACCAGTTACCCGGTAAGCACTTCCAGTATGATTACCAGGGTAACCAGTTAACTGGCTCCTGGCCCATCTGGAACAGTCCTCCCACTCCCACCTGCTGGGCCTATTCCAGCCTGGCTGAGCCCACCGCATCGCAGGCACTCCAGCCTGGCGAGGCCCATCACGGCACATCACGGGTGGGGGACTGCTCCAGTAACATCTCAGTTAACTGGTTAAAAATATAGTTTAACCACTTCACATTTTTAAACAGGATTTTATATCCCTAGTCCAGATGAAGGTGGTTGAGGCTCAGCAGGGATGGATTGGGTAATCTTACCAGAAGGGTCTGAATGCTGGCCACAGAAAAGTTAAGAGGCAAGGAGTATTCAAAATACACACATGGGTGCACAAGATTGCCTCCAAGTTTCAGGTTGTTCTCAGATGACACTTCAGAGTGAAGATTCTTTTACTGGTCGTAATAGTGCAATAAATAAATAAAACCTAAAATCCAAAGCCTGCTAAGCTGAATTCTGAGTTGGAATTTCCTAGATATTTTTTAGGGGCTATAAAGGAAGAGATGAAATCCTGAACATTTTCCTATGAGTTTTTTGGCAGCTGAGATATGCTGTCCACCTTAATTCTATATTAATATTTTGCTTAAGTGCCTAGAGACAACATCAAGAGCCAGGGTCAAAATGTGAATCAGATGTCTAAATTCTCCACTGTCTGCTGTTTAAAATATGTAAATTCAAGAAACTGAGTTAGCCATGGCTGCAAGTTTTAGCATCCTTATTAGTTCCATGAATTAATCTGCTACTAGCAGAAAGACACTGCTCAACATACTGTACTCACGCCAGCTGGCTGCAGCTGAAAGACAAAAGAAACAAATGAAGTAGAACATTTATTTGAGTCAGTTAACTCACTTGTAAAAGTAACACTGATCAAGAGTGGACGTTCCTTGCCATTTAAGGACCTCAGTGCTTTGTTATTTTAGAGTGAGTCTGGCTCAAGAACTCAGATGGTACATACTTATTTTCACACAGTCATCTAGGTAACAGTAAGACAAGTCAGATTGAAGGGGAAAAAAAAGCAGTATTCCACAAGTGCTTTTACAGCAAGATTTGGTTTAGCCAGTTCAATATTCTTTGATTATACATAAACACACAATTGCCAAAAGAAATATCTGTAGAAGGTGGTGTAAAACAGCCAAAATGTATATGCATAGAAAATCTAGAGAATCCCTTTCTTTGGATTATTACTCTTACATTTTATACGGTTAGATTTTCACCTCTATTCTTCCTTCCACTGTAACAGAAAACCATACAGTACAACAACAAGTCTTCTAAAAGAGTGCTTTTAGGACAGAGCTATCATCAGCAAATTGGCTGCATTCTAGTGAACTTTCTTCTGATAGTGTGAAGAGCACATGCTATCATAGTACACATTTTGCATGATTTTCTTGCTCTGGGAATAGGAGAATATTTGGCTTTACTATACACTAAATTTTCTCCTTCACCCTATTTACTCTTTAGCTCCATATATAATAAACATCTCATTCTATTTCATTATTTATTATATGTAGCACCCAAAGTCCTTCACTGCACTAGGCATTGTGCACATACACAGGTAGACCAGGCCCCAGCCTGCTTAGAACCCAATGTAATTGTAACAATCCTCCAGAGTTTTGGGAAGACTTACGGTGTATATACTATTAATACATTAGTTCTTGGACAGTGCAGTTTACTGAAAGGTATTTCTGAAAGCAAACAAATAGTGAGTGAAAAATTTTCAAGTTCTATCCCACACAACAGCATTCAAACATTACAAAACAAAGGGACACAAAAGCTCCTACCTATCTCTGTCCTGGTAGGTCCAATTCCATTATAAACTCTCAAATAATTGAAATGGCAAGCATCTGAATCTTCAATATCAAAATCACCAAATTTGAGCTGAACTCTCTGTCCAGATTTTACACGGATCTCCCACTCACACACTGTGCTGTTAGGATAAGTCTGGGGGTAGTTTATTGAAGTAAGAGTTCCACTTTCAGGCCCCAGAACTGTGTGTCCACAACCATCACCTTAAAACAAGAAAAAACGTTATCACAAATCGTTCATTCATTAGTAGTCAAACTGATCTTTAGGAACAGCAGGAGATTTTTTTCAAAATGACATTTTTACCAACTACAATTGTGAAAAGGCTCAAAACCAAAATAGACGGGTGAAACTATAACTGACAAAATAGGATTTGTCCAACATTACCTAATACACATCTTGAGCACATCTGACAGGGGAACTGCAATAGGTAATGCCTGTGATGGCTTTTTTAAAAAGCGCATATAGCACAAACAGTAGGATAGGTGTTTCTTCAATTTTATGGACACACACACGCAAAAGTTATTTTAACAAAAAGGAGAGAGGAAATCCAAACCTATTGTAATTGTGATTCTAATTAGGAAGACAGTTTATTTGCTGGTTCTGCATTCTTAATATTTTGGCAATAGGAACAGATGCGCAACATGATCTCTTGGGAAATGGAGAACAAAGCAACTCCCTGGAAATAGCTAAAGAGAAGTGTGGCCATAAACTGCATAATAATTTTAAGGTGGTGACTGTATTTGGTTGCCAGTAAAATACATTTGTATTAATCTTGGCTCACTCTTTAGGGCAGGGACTGCAATTTCTATGTTTAAGTAATGCCTAGGAGGTTTCTGAACCACCACTTTATAAATGTAAAAAACCCACTATAATTGCATAATAAAGTATTAATAATAATACAGTATAGAAAATTATGAATTTGTGAGTAGAAAGATCTCATGTGATTGATTTATGCTTGTAAATTTACAAACACATTAGCAAAACATCTATAACAAGGGCAAAGTAAATAAGCAGCCTATGAGTATTTACTCAAAAGCAGACTAGGAACTGTAGCCAATAAGATGCATTAGCATTTGTAAACTGCTTTGAAAATGAGAGTGCTACATGAGTAACAATAAGGACTCAATGAACATTGTTCTCCTGAAAGTAGTTCTCACTGTAAGTCTACAACCCAGCTAAATTGTAACATTTGAAATAAAACAACTCTCTGCAAACTGAAATATTTGTGTTAGCACTTGAAGCAAAGGAGCCAACTCACTGAAGTCAGTTGTATGAAATTACTATACTAGGGTTTGCGCTATTCCTGTAATGCATGACCCTGGGAGATGTAGTGCACTTCCAGAGGGGCCCTTTGGAAATATTCAACAGCTCACAAGATCACATTCAAAGTACAGGTAATAAGCCTTTATTTTACACATTCAAGTAAGAACAGTAGACATGCAGGTACAAATCCAATTCAACAGTCTTTTAAAAGTACTGCCCTCCCTGCACTATATTCCCCATTCAGAGATTCATTTCACCCCTCACTTTTTTCTTTAGGGAATCCAGCTCTCAACAGAAGACATCATTATTATTACTCTTCGAGACAGCTTTCTGATACAATAGATATAAGCTTTCACGGTATGCCATTGTTTTATAAACTAAACTTCAACTCTGTGCCCTAAGATTAAAAAACAATCCATGCTAAAAAGTCAAAGGACTATGTAATGACTACACACACAAAAAAGAAATTCCTCCAAAAATGGACAGTGTCTTTTGCTACAACGATTGTAGCAGCAAGTAGACTGCACTGAAAAGCCTCCAAAAACTAATATTTGGTGATTTAATCCTGCAGAGCCTTCCATTTTTAAAAAAACTATTTTCTTTGCACTCGCAAGGACCTCAAAAAGGCAAGATACGTGTATGTTCTAAAATTCCAGCTGCTGGTGCTGCTAGTATTCAGATTAGCATTTCAAACAGAAAGGAGTCACAGGTCTTAAAACTATAGCGTATATTATGGATGTGAAGGTTTAACTGATTACTAGTTAACCAGTAAGCCTCACCCCTAGTGGGTGAGAGTTACCGGTTAAAGTTAAACGGTGGGGCTGGAGTAGCTCCCCACCTGCAGCAGGCAGGAGGTTGTTTTAGTCCCACGGAGGGCCCTCCATGAACAGGAGCTGTTCCAGAGCAGCACTGTCTGTGGCAAGCCAGGGCACCCCACGAGCAGGGGCTGCTCCAACCAGGATGCTGGAGCAGCCCCTGCACTGGCAGAGGGGGACTTCCAGCTCAGTAGCAGGTGGAGGGGGTGTGTGTGGTAACTGCCCTTTAATTGGCTAACCAGTCAAGCTATACAGTTAACTGGGTTAAAATATATGTTTAACCAGTTAGCCAAGTAAACAGGATTTTACATCCCTAGTGTGTATTTTCTTTTGGGAAAGGTAACATGTTCAAAATGGCTGTCTGTGTACTCTCAAGTTCTGTTATAAAGCACTCATTTGACAATGCTTTGTTTTATCTTATTTTTAGCATTTTGTTTTAAATACATTATCACTTGATATATTATATTCCATAATACTGACCCATTACCAAAATGGAAATAATTACAGGCAGTCCCCGGGTTACATGGATCCGACTTACCCCGTTTGTAAGTAGGGATCCGATGTAAGGCAACCCCGCACTAGCTGCTTCCCCCCAGCAGACCAGGGAGACGCGGAGCGGCTTTTCTCAGCAGACACCTCAGCTTGAGAATAAAGGACTGAGGGAAGTGAGGTGTGGGAGAATAAAACTGAGCTCTGGAGAAATGTTTGGCTAGAGTTTCCCCTACAATATGTACCAGTTCCGACTTACATACGAATTCAACTTAAGAACAAACCTACAGTCCCTATCTTGTACGTAACCCGAGGACTGCCTGTATATAACCTCTAACTAAATTCCCCATTGACAAAGTCTTTTTTATTTACTATCCTAAAAAGGCATTGCTATATACTATAGGTTGAACTTCTCTAGTCCAGCACCCTAGTGCCAAATGTGACTAGTGCCAAACCAGAGAATTTGCCAAACCATGGGTGGTCAGTATTGTCTAGCACCTTTACCAACACTTCCACTACTTAACGGGCTCTTAGAAGACAGCTAAACAACAGCAACAGCACAGATCACTGAGAGCCAGGACTGGTGGGTTGTAAAGGAACTTTATGGAACTGTGGGAAAGTTGGCCACACCCATGATAAGTGATCTGACTAATGAAAATCATGGCAGACCACGGATGCTGCTGAACTAGTGTGTCAGACTACAGAGGTTCAACCTATAGTAAATAGTTGCCTCATTTCATCATTGAAGCGGTGTATGTGCACTTTGTACAGCCGGTCCTCGACTTTCAAACAGGTTACATTCCAAACACCTGGTCGTAACTCTATTTGTTCGTAAGTCGGAAATACATGCTTTTACATACAGCCGCGCTGTTCATAAGTGCGGATGGTGCGTTTGTAAGTTGGGGACCAGCCATAAGGGGGTTAATAGGAGGTTGGTCGTAAGTCGATGCGTTCGTAAGTCAGGGACCAGCTGTATATTGTTTGTTTGTAAAAGATTTTTCAGCTTCGCAATAAAAGAAAGATTGTGAATGAAAGATTTCTTATTAAGAAATTTTATAGCAAACTGACTAAAAACAGCCCTTAATTGTAAAAATCCTTGCTGCTCAGAATATTTTAGAACTCAGGAAAAAAATTCCAATTCCTTCGCTAGTAATCAG